GCTCGCCTTGAGCTGAAGAGCACAGAGACAGTGCCCAAGCCCAGAGTTCAAGCCCCACAACTGACAAAAAAATAAAAAATAAAATAATAAAATAAAATCATACATGCACACCTGTGCATGCTTATAAAAATAAATTAATCTTCATAGCAATGATCTTCTGTCCTTTTACTGTTCTGCTTTTATAAATAAGGAGACAGTTCAGCATAGTGATGCATGCTATTTTCCAGTTAATTAGGAAGCTGAATTAGAGTCCTCAGATTCAAGGGTAGCCTGGACAACATACCAACATCATATACATATATACATACAGATACATGCACATACATTCATGCATGCATGCATAATTCAACAAATAAAGTCTCCATAGGAAAAAATACTAATTTTTTCAAACTATATAAGCTGACAAAATTAAATTACTTGTTATAAGTTAATATAAGAACAAATTCAGTTCTGTACTTTTGCTTGAAACAAGATTCCTAATAGCCATACCCACTTTCATATTGACAGGACATCCTAAATACAAATTCTTCTCAGTAACCAACATTATCATAAAAGTCATTTACAATTTTTTTTCAAATATTCACAATACAAATGGAATACGCTCTTTCAGAAAAATTTTATCTGTTCTCAATTTAGTTTCATTTACTTTGCTTAACTTAACAGCAAAATACTTTCTTAATTCTAAAAACAGATGAGATTTAGACATTTTAAAAACTGAACGTCTTTCAAACTGTTATTCAAGATTTAACATTATACCTGTATTCTCCATATTTGTAACTCAATTGGATCAAACCAAAAGTTAGAAAGAATGCAATGGTATTGTAGGCACACATAACATGCATAAAATTGCAACAATTCACTTGAGATTTTTCATTATATTTATGTCTACATGATATTGAAAAAAAACCTGTATAAATGAAAAAGCAGTTGAAGGGCAAAATCAAATTCCTGGCTTTATTAGATTCAGGTTGATATTTTCTGATAAAATATCTGTAGGTGCCCTCGTCAATCAGGATTTCAATAGAAAGGAAGATGAAAGCATTCAAGCATAAAAGGCAAGTGTGATAATTATGATGTGCAGACAAGGTAATGGGAAACATCTGAGCCCACTTCTCATTTTATGTAGCAAGTGCTGCCTTGACCTTAGACATCCTATAATGCTCCATCACATTTGCTGCATTATTTCATCATTCTAATTATTTAGGAGAATTCAATTAATCTGACTGGCATGTGGTCAGTAGATACAAATCCTCCACCATTTTGTAGGGCTTTTTCCTACCTCATCTCTGAAAATAATGCTGTGAAAGAGCTTTAGCTTAAAACCTGTGTTCATCATTCAAGTTTATTAACCTCTTATTGATTAAAAAATTGGTACCCATTTTCCTGGAATGTCATTTTCAGATAATTTGCTTCAAAGTATTAATAGGCAGTTTATATGACAAATTTCAGCTGGTGGCTCAACACGGCTCACAGTTTATACTGGATTCATTTTAAAAGTTCTCCGGTGATGAGCTTAATAGAAAATGGTGGAACAGTTGTTAGAGAAGAGCTGAATACACAGTTGAAGCACAAAGTTCACTACCTATATATTTAAGGATTACAGTAATCATCTTCTAAACTCTGCTCTAATCCATCACCCAGAACCAGGATTTGTCCACCTTAATATTCATGAAGATACTTCCTAGCGAAGTTCAAGATTACAATTACATTGCTATTATTACTATAATGTATTACATTAAAAAAAAAACACTGGAGCTTTATCGTTATTAGCTTGCCAAAATTACAGCAATGCTTCTTACAAATATGATACTCTAACTGTTCTAATATTCTCCTATCATTTGGGGAAAGGTAACAACAATTTCTGTTCAGAACTGTTTAGTCAAACAATAGGGTTTCTTAGTGTCCTTATTTCATTATTAAATGAAAGCATATATAAAAAGGGATGGGGAGTCCTTTCCTAAAAGAAGGTAAACCCAATAAAATTTAGATCAGTGCCTCACAAGAAAGGCACTGCTCACCCAGGACACACTTCTGGCTGAACACAGAATACGTTGTTCACACTTGTCACTCTAATAGAACACTACTTTCTCTACAAGTAAGTCATTAGTGAGCTACATGTTCTTCAAGGTAGATGATTAGTAAAGATGGCAGGGTCTGACTGAACTCCCTGTGTGTAGTTAGGTAAAGGCAAGGCTTAGAGAGAAAGATGGTGGCTGCTTTTGCTATAATTACTATAATTCTTAAATACAGATGCAGTGCACTTTGTGCTCCAACTATATATGCTGAACTCTGCAGGTACAAGCAAGCAGAGGGTGCAACCATTCTGGTCTTTATGAAGATGAAGAACTATAAAGAAGAAAAAGTTCAAATTACTGTAAAGTTAATTTTGTCCATCCAAGAAGACATATTCTCATGTGTTTAGAGCTACCCAGGGACATTCACCTTCATTCTTCCTTAAGGGCAGTCCCATGCCCAGCAGGCCACAGAGAAGCTGAGTGCCAGAGGTTATATAAAACAATCCTTCGGGGAAATAATACAGAAGCCTAAAAGTAGCAATAGTATTTGGAAGACTATAATTTGAAAGAAGAAAAAGTTAGAGACATAATCGCTTTTCATATATAATTTTAAAGACAGGAAAAAAAAAAACTGGGAATGTGGCATAGTGGTAGAGTGCTTGCCTAGCATGCATGAAGCCCTGGGTCCAATTCCTCAGTACCAACTAAACAGAAAAGGCCAAAAGGCCAGAAGTGGCACTATAGCTCAAGTGGTAGAATATTAGTCCCAAGCAAAAGAAGCTCAGTGAGTCAGGCACCTATAATCCTTCCTAGCTACTCAGGAGGCTGAGATCTGATGATCATAGTTCCAAGCCAGCCCAGGCAGAAAACTCCCTGCCAGACTCTTATCTTCAATTAACCACTCGAAACTGGAAGTGGTACTGTGGCTCAAATGGTAGAGCACTAGTTTTTCTCTTTTTTTTTTTAAGTTTTTGTTTTGTTTTTAAATAGGACTTTGTTCGTTTGTTTTTCAGTCGTGGGGCTTGAACTCTGGGCCTGGGCCCTGTCACTCAGCATTTCAGCTCAAAGTGAGCACTCTACCACTTGAGCCACAGCGCCACTTCCGGTTTTCTGGTGGTTTATTGGAGATCAAAGTCTCACAGGCTTTCCTGCCCAGACTGGCTTTGAACCATGATCCTCAGATCCCAGCCTCCTGAGTAGCTAGTATTACAGGTGTAAGCCACCAGCATCCAGCTACAGCACTAGTCTTGAGCACAAAGAGATCAGGGATAATACCCAGGGCCTGAGTTCAAGTCCCAGGACTGGCAAGAGAGAGGAGTAAGAGGAGAGAGAGGAGAGAGAGGGAGGAGGGAGAGAGAGAGAGAGAATATGCATTAAACTTGCATTAATTACAAATTACAACTTGTATTAATTAATATATTAAACTGATGAATAATAAGTAGCCAAATGGAAAAAATAATGAAGATTATGTTACAGAAAAGAAACTCACAAATTATGTTAAAAAAATTAAAACTGTTCAAATGGAGAAACATTTAAAAGTTAATAGAAGAATAAAAGTAACACTGGTATTCTTTACTGCAAAATTCCTCAACAACAGAACCTATCAAGACAAGAAATGGAAAGCAAGTTTTACCTTGGGCTAGTCTTTCAAGTCGTTTCCCATGCTCCGGAGGTATAGCATACCTGAAATGTTAAACATAAATAAAATTACAAGTTCATAACTTTTCAGCTAGTATCCCAGAGATATTGATTCCTAAATAATGTTATGCAAAAAAAATTCAAATTCCACTGAAAGGAACTCCATAGAGATTAGGAATAGAATCACAGCATCCTGTCCCTTACATAATGATTGGAAGAAAAATAAACTTACAAATCAGCCAACTTATTCCCAAAACTGTACTTTAAGAATTACAAGCAAAGGCCAAGCCCAGTTTTCATAGCACTCTAGATCACCAACACTAGTTTTGGTATATGGTTTTTTGCCTGGAAGTTGAACAGTTTGGGATTTTGCTTTCAAGGAAATAAAAATTTCTGTCTTTTTAAATTCTAAAATATTTTTATTCTTGACTAGAATGGGACATAAAATTATTATGTTTGCCCCACAGCTATCTAAAACCATTAGAAGGGAATGGGAAGGTGGCTCAGTGGTAGAGTGCTTGCCTTGCATGCATGAGGCCCTGGGTTCCATTCCTCAGCACCACATAAACAGAAAAGGCCGGAAGTGGTACTGATGCTCAAGTGGTAGAGTACTAGCCTTCAGCTGAAGAGCTGAGGGACACCACTCAGACCCAGAGTTCAGACCCCACGACCGACAAAAAAAATAATAATAATAAAAACCATTATAATTTTCAACTAGATTTTAAACAAAAAGAGCTAGCACCCTTTAAATGCAACTTCACTTCCTTATTATGTGGCTTTTTAAAAATCTTAATTTTTTACCCTTGAAAAACAGAAATACTCATTTCAAGTTGTTGGGTTATCAAAGGTGAAGTACTTGAAATTATTTATTACGAGGCCACTAACACATTTCAAATAGTCTCATAAAATAGTATTCTTACCTAAATTCTAAAAGCATTTTAAGGAGAAAATTTACATATATTATAAATACATTTAAATGATCATTTAATGTTTCAAGTAAGATGCACTGTTTTTTAAGACCTATATTTCTTATGTTTAGTAGCTCAATATGTATTAAGTAGAAGTTCCTTTTACTGATGGAATGCATCTGAATATACTTAACACCACACTTGGTTGCATTTAATGCCACTGATAACATATGCAAAACTTAATTGGATCCAATGTAGCTAGGCAATTCACTAAAAGAAAATTCAACCCTATATCCTCCTCCTTAGGGCACTGCTAATGAAATTATTCCAACTGAATTGAGGAGATAAAATTTTAGCATAACTAAATGACAATAACCCAATGCATTTTAAGACCACTTATTATTTTTAATCCTTGAATTACAATCACAAAAAGTGAAGGAAGGAGTGACATTGCCCATTACCTGACTTTAAAAAATGGTAACCCCTCTGTACAACCCCTTAGTAACAAAATTATATTATTTAAGTACCCAGGAAAAATATGTGTGTGCATAAGTGTAGATGTGTGTGCATACATGTGTGTATGTATCGTGTAGGCAGCATGTACAACCTATAGGCATGTGTATATGTATTTCCTACTCAAAGGGATCAACTACCTCATTACACACATGTGCACATAATAGGTAACTCTGAATACATAAAGGGTTGGATGTGAATAGATATGTTTATATATTCATTTTTTCTGAAAACTTGACAAAATAATTATGCACCAATGGTGCAAATCTATAATCTTAGCTACTCATGAGGCTAAGATCTGAGAATTGTGGTTAGAAGCTAGCTGGGACAGAAAAGCCCATAAGACTTTTACCCTCAATTAATTACCAAAAAGCCAGAAGTGGAGCTATGGCTCAGGTGGTAGAGCACTAACCTTGAGCTAAAAAATCTAAGGGACAGCACCTAGGCCAAGTTCAAGCCCCAGCACACGTACGCACATGCACGCATGTGCATGCACGTGCACACACACACACACACACACACACACACACACACAGAAAAAGAAAAAGAAAAAAGGGCAAAGTTAAAGCCCTTTAATCTGAATTAACCATGTTTTCCAAAACTGTATGTATGTCTATGTGCTGAAGGAAAAGGTAAGGCAAGGTCGATCTATCCCACCCCTTCAATCCCATTTTCTCCTTTTAGGATCTAAACCACACCAACACTCTTTTACCTCCCTACTCAGGTGGTCCCTATTAGTCAAGTCTTCTAAATTTTCTTCTACAAGAACCCCTAGACACTACTATTCTATTTTAGACACATAATTTATTCAAATAGTTCAATTTTTTTGGATTTGGGATGTCTCAATCTATTTCCAAATTCTGTAAACAATCCAGTTCATTTTATAACCATAATGAATATGAATAAAATCCTTACGGTTAACCAACCCACACTATACTTCAATTACCTCTGACATCATCAAAGGATTAATGACTCATATCCAATCACTGCCTAGCAAATGACAGATATGCAATATTTCGGAAATAGAGCTGACACACCAGGAACCACTCTGGTAACATTAATGAAGCACAAAGGAGTGAAAACAACTTGCAGGAGATGATATTCTTCTGCCCTGCTGGAGTCCCCACATTGCTCAAAATGAACCCACTTACTCCCAAGTACATTCCTGTGAAAGTCTTAGCATATTTCTCACTTCAGCGTTATCAACCTTATGCTTTGTTAACCTAATTGTTAAACAATAGCACAAAGCTCTATAATGTTTCTCATAGGCTGACAAAGGACATCAATACTTATCATTAGTAAAAATGTCAATAGGACTGAAAAAGTAATTATCACATAGTACTATTCTTTTGTTCATCATCAGATTTCCAAAGATAAAGGAACTAGAAAAGACAATTTTTAGGAATCCACCATAGTATCAGATCATTACTTAAACAATAAATTCAGCTGCCTCACTTAATAGTCAAGCAGCAAAACACCAATGTATACCATCTTTTTTTTTTACATGTACCATCGTAACAACTACAAAATTTTGCTCAAATCATACCATTCCTTTAATCAATTATCTCACTCAATCAAGAAAGTCCAAGAGGCTTGAAGAACAATTTTGTTCTCTAAGTCACAGGGATGGAGGGCTCTTTAAGATAATCTAGCTGGGCGTCGGTGGCTCATGCCTGTATCCTAGCTACTCAGAAGGCTGAGATCTGAGGATTGTGGTTCAAAGCCACCCAGGCAGGAAAGTCCGTGAGACTCTTATCTCCAATAAAACATTGAAAACCAGAAGTAGGGCTGTGGCTCAAGTGGTTGAATGCTTGCCTTGAGCTGAATTGCTGAGGGATGGCGCCCAGGCCAAATTCAAGCCCCACGACTGACAGAAAAGAAAAAAGAAAAAAAAAAATCCAGTTTTGTGTTGCTAAACCTTTCTTCTGTGTCCATACCATCACAGGGACAGAATCACTAATACCTCCACTGCCAGCAATAAATAGCAACTGGGAGAATAAAAAACAGGAAGTATCTATGGAGACACCCTAAAGAGATGAGGAATTTAAAAACTGTCAGCCCTTATCTATTTTACAGAACAAAAATGAAAGGATCTAAAGAGTAAAATTTTGGAGATCTGTATTTAATGACATCTCCAAAGTAATGAGGTGATCCTGACCTACTGATCCACATATTCAATATACTTAAGACAATGTGCAAGATGTATTGATTCAAAGAATCACATTATCAGGAGCAGACAGATACATCAAAGGCTGGAAATTCAAAGATGTAAGGTGTAAATTCAAAGATCTCAAGAAGGCAGTTGTATGTGTTAACCTGCTTACTGATCTTGAAAGGTCTAGGAAATGGGCCTTCATTTCTCTGTCATCATTTTGGTCTAGACCACCATTTCCTATGACAGAGACTCTTAAGCAGTCACTGTGTCCCTTGCCTTCTGTAATCATGTAGACCAACCAGATTCGGCCCTTCCTCTCACTAACCCCATCCTCCACCAACACTGTTTCTGCCTGTCAGGAGAACCTAGTAGCTAAGCAGAGACACACTGGCAGGCATGGATACAGAGAGGTCAATGTACTCATCTTAGTCAAAGAAGTTCTAGCTCTATGGCTCTGACCTGCTAATACTCTTAGGAACATTTCCTGTCACCTCAAAAGGCTCAGCACACCCTAGATTACACTCATGATCTCCTGTTAAGTGAAATCATTCTCAGCTTTCTCTTTTCATTACACATTTTGCTCTTGCTTTACAAACTGGAAATACCAAAGTTGCCTCCTTACCACTACTGATAACAGATCCTCCTCACTGTATCTTCAGAACTCTGTATCCATCTTCCTGCAACACAATTCCAACCTCCATCTGCTCTCAGCTAGACTTATTGCCTCTACTGAATTCTACCCATCTCTTCCAGGGTGGCTATAGTTCTATTGCTATCATATAAAACCTGCATTTCCCACTGTCTGGTTTCTCAAAATGCTCTACAATTTAACTCCAATCTTCTTAGATATGCACACTGACTCCCAACAGGCTGGCCTATGAATTATTCTATAACTCACATGGCTTCATCCTCACTGCTCTCCTCAAGTACCGCCCCCTCTGCTTCAATTCCCAACCTTTGACCCCTCCCAGATTCTCCTTCCTTGAAGCTTTCTTTGACACTGTAAGTCTCAGCAGTCTCACGTCTTTTCATGCTGGATCCCTTGAATTATACATTTCACATAGCATTTATTAACTACTACTTTTCATTCTTAGCTGCTGTTCTATGTGCATAAATCACTTTTTGTCTTGGTAAGTGCTAGGGTCCATATAGAAGAGAAGGCCTACCACTACCCAGAAATGCTTCTGTAAATTACGTTTACCTTGCATAGTGAAGATCTGGTCCACAGCCAGGTAGTGAATTATATGCCACAGTTGCTCAATTATGTAACTAAGTTTAAATTCTTTCAGTACATGGCTGTGTTGCCTGCTTTTCTGCATCCTTTAAAAGCCATCAAATAAGGTATACCTACTATTGTATGTCTTCAACTATTAAACTACGTATTGATTTGTTGAAATTAATAATTGCCCATTTAATCTTTAGGGTTTTTGTTTTATATGTAGTAAATTTCATATATAATAAAAATTCCC